TCAGAACAAAAATAAAACACTTTTGAAATCACTTTAATGTTTTCTCCTATCATTTACACGATCAATTCCTGAAAAATTCATGTTTTAATAAATTTAAAGTTCTATCATTACCTCCAAAGCTTTTAAACACCTACTCTAAAAAATAGACCCCCTATACTGTAATTTCTCTATTCATCTTTCTACTAATAATTCTAGTACCAAAATAAAGACCACCAAAGGGACAAAGAGCAAAAGCATTCCTGAGCCTCAACTCATAGTCTGACAGCCAGTAGATAGTGGTTTGTTTCTTTTTCCTTCTGTATCCCACTTTGACTTATAGTTTCGGAGGTAATGAAAGTTTGGCATGAATCTTACCCACCCACCTTAAACAATCTTATCGGCTTCAGAGACCAGGTGTACCAAAGGATCAGGATGCTCTTGCCATGACTGTCAAGAATAAACAAGATTAATGGATAAAAACTCCTGAGGAGTCATCAAATAGCATACCTGCCATGATCTGTGTTCTCTACGTTTCCCGGTTACATGTTTTTTTTTCCCCTGAGTAAAACCATAATTTTATCTTAAAATTATTTCCCCCCCATGTTTTATTGGTGTATTACAGTTACTTATAATATTGTCATGCATTATTACATGCACTATTACCCCTTTCCCTCCACACCTCCTTACTTTGGTCCCCCTGTCCTCTATCCTCTACTCTATGGGTCTCCTGCTTTGATTTTAATAAGATTTTTCCCTACCCCTACCTTTCTTTTCCTTTCTCCTCTCTAGCTTCCACAATTGAGAGAAAACATTCAACCACTGCCTTTCTTAATTTTGGCTTACCTCACTTAACATAATGCTCTCAAGCTCCATCCATTTTCCTGGAAGGGACATAATTTCATTTTTCTTTATGGCTGAATAACTGCCTATTTTAAACTGTGTTGCTATAAATATAAGCATGCACATATCACTGCAGTATGCTGATTTTAGTTCTTTTGATTACAAACCAAGGAGAAATGTAGCTAGGTTATACGATGCTTCCCATTCTTAGACTTCTGAATAATTTACATACTGATTTTCATCACATCTCTGTGTTATCTTAACTGCTACATCAATTAATTCCTATCACAAGGCAGGGATGTTCATATAGGACACAACATCAATATGAAAAACTTAACATTTGGCTCCTAATAGAATATCAATGTTTTGTTTGTTTGTTTTTTGAACAAGGGTTCAAAAAATTGAACAAGGGGACCCAGCAACTGAGCTATATCCCCAGCCCAATTTGTATTTTATTTAGAGACAAGGTCTCACTGAGTTTTGCTTAGCACCTTGATTTTGCTGATGCTGGCTTTGAACTCACAATCCTCCTGCTCAGCCTCCATAGCCACTGGGATTACAGGTGTTAACTGTACCCAGCAAGGAATTCAATGCTTTTAAAAAACACTGCTCTTTTGGGCTGGAGATATAACTCAATTGGTAGAGTGCTTGCTTGCATGCACAAGTGCACAAGGCCCTGGGTTTGATCCCCAGCAACAAAAAAAGAAAAAAGAAAACAAAACACTGCTCTCAAAAATTTTCACTTAAGGGCTGGGGTTGTGGCTCATGCATGCTCGCCCAGCATGCATAAGGCACTGGCTTCAATCCTCAGCACCACATAAAGATTGTGTCTACCTATAAGTAAAAACTAAATATTTTTAAAAATTTTTTTCACGTAATTACTCAAACATGAAAAATTTACATTACGTATAAATTCTCAGTATTAAAGATCACATGCAATTTCAAATATATGCTTAAGCAACCTCTGCCCACTTAAAAAAATATTATTAAAAATCATTACATATGACCAGGCATTGTAGTCCATACCTATAATCCCAGCAGCTTGAGAGGCTGAGGCAGGACGATTGCAAGTTTAAAGCCAGCCTCAACAACTTAGTCAGGCACTAAGCAACTCAGTGAGACCCTGACTTAAATAAAATACAAAAAGAGACTGAGGATGTGGCTCAGTAGTGAAGTGCCTCTGGATCCCATCCCCAGTTTAAAAAAACAAAACAAACAAAAAAAAAATTACTAACATATATTATAATTTAGAACTCCTAATATCATAAGGTAAATATTTATCCCATAGAAACACTCATAAGTAATATTTATTTTTAAGTATGGGTCATCAATATATATGATAAGACCTTTTCCCCCAATGTTTTCAAACACTATCAATTGCAAGCAACTTCATAAACTCCAAGTTAAATTAGAAATAAATAATCCAAAATACAATCCAAGTTAAATTAGAAGTGACCATCTTTGTGAAGGCTCAGGAATCCAAAGAGATAACTACATGTAGAACACCAGCCCCGCCTTTTTATTAGTACTGGAGCTTAAATGCAGAGCCTCCCATATGCGAGGCAATCACCCTATTACTAGACTGCAATCCCAGACCCAGACATTTTTATTTTTCTTTGAGACAATCTCAGTAAATTTCCCAGGCTAGCTTCAAACTTGTGGTCCTTCTGCCTCAATCCCCCAGATCCCAACATCATTTATTTCCCCCCCCAATAATTCAATTTAACTTAAAGAATATTAAAGGGGCTGGGATGTGGCTCAGTGGTAGAGAGCTCGCCTTGCATGTGTGTAGCCCTGGGATCTATCCTCAGCATCACATAAAAAATAAATAAATAAAACAAAGATATAAAAAATAGCTTAAAAAAAAAGAATATTAAAGCCAGTCACAATTTGCCAGTAGTTTTCATGGATAGGTTTTTCACTTCCATAGTATTTAACAATCATATTCAACAATCAAATGAAATGAATTTTTAGGAAAAAAAGTATCACATCATTGATTTTTGGTCATTATTTGCAATCAAAACAAAAATTTAAAAATAGATTATAGGGTTTGGGAATATAGCTCAGTTGGTAGAATGCTTACCTCACATGCATAGGCCCGGGGTTCAATCCCCAGCACCACAGGGGGAAAAAAATAGATTACAGATTAAAAAAAAAAAACAAAAAACTTAAGACTATGCTAAACCAAACTACATATTAAAATCCATGCAAGTTAAATCTCCATTTTAAAAAAATGGCACCTATTTAAAAAATGGATACTATTCAACCATAAAGAATAAGAAAATCTGACATTTGCAGCACCATGGATGGAACTGGAAATCATTACACTCAATGAAATAAATCAGGCACAGAAAGACGTTTACATAGCTAACTTATGTGGAATTCAAACAAGTTGATTTCAAAAAAGGGGAGAGTAAACTGACCTTATTAGAGACCTGGAAAAGAAAGGACCCAGGAGGGATGGGGAACACTGATAAATGGATACAAAGTTACAGTTTCACAGAAGCAAGAAATTCCAGGTAGTATGCCTACAGAAAAAGGGAATTACTTCGATTTCAAAAAGCCAAAAGAACTTTGAAAGTTTCATCATTGAGAAATGAAAATTTTTGAAGATAGAGATATTTTGACTTAAATATTACCAAATACATGAATACATGTATTAAATAATACCCATAATTCAAACAACTTTAATGTATCTGTGTTTAAAAACCTTTTATTAAGCTGGACAAAGTGGCATACAGCTATAATCGCAGGTACTTTTAAGGTTGATGCAGGAAGATCCTGAGTTCAAAGCCAACCTCAGAAATTTAGTCAGGCCTTATGCAACTTAGTGAGACACTGTCTGTGAAAGAAAACACATAAAAAGGGCTGGGGATGTGGCTCCGTGGTTAAGTGCCCCTGGATTCAATCCCAGATACAAAAAAATAAAAAATTAAAAAAAAATCCTTAAGAAAAAAATTAGCATGAGGACCTGGGTTCAAATCCCCTCCGGGGGGAGGGGGGTTTGAAACTAGTGTTTCATTTGAGGCAACAAACTGTCACGTTCATAATTTCTGATTTCAACCAAATAAGAGAAAAATGTAATGTAAGCAGCATTTATTATATGTAGCATTTTTTGTACAGTCCTACGTTCATCTTATCAAGTGACAGGATATAATTCATTTTTAATAAGTTTGATCAGGTCATAAACAGGCTTAAAAGTAAGGTTCTATGAAGTGTACACAACAGTCTACAAGAAGTAACTAAATGTGTTAAATGATAAATATATAGTAGGTTTAAGAATGTTACTTTGAAAAGACACCGATAATTCCCCTTTCAAATAATGAATTTGTGCCAGGCAATTTATTAGATCTTTTCGCTAAGATTTTCCTGTTTATATCTCCTCCCGCCACGAAAACAATCCCTTCTTCATTTCCCCTCCCACTATTTCCCGCCATCTTGGCTGATAGGAGCAGCCATTAACTAAATGACAGTGCCAACTTTTCACACAAACAAGGAAATGTCTTCGGTCTCTAAAACCCAGGCATCAAGACTTCTAGGCCAAAAAACTAACCCCCACCCCCCCACACACACACAGATAACATTCTCAGCACTATTTCTGATGGCAAAATACTCAAAAGAGTAAGTACATCATTTATGTCTCAGTCAAACATAATGCCAATGAGGGTAGATCCAGTACCAATGCAAACTCCTGAACGCAAAAAATTATGTGAATTTAATCCTTAGGAGACAAAGTAATACAAGAAAGCATAAAACGTGCGATTAAATCAGACATAACAAGCTAGGAGCCAAACGAGGATTTAATTTTAAAAAGAAAAAAAAAAGTAGGACGACAGGAAAATAGTGAATTTTCAGAAGTCTGCAAAATTGACCAACTTTGAGCTAACATTCAGAAATCATAGGCTTAACCAAAAAGGTCTAAAACACCAGCAATGCTAACGAGTCTGTTAAGCCAGGCCCCAAAGAACAGGAGCAAACTATAAAGATTTTGGACAGCTAGAGAGCAATATGATCGGGCAAGAGGACAGCAAAAGTGATAAGTAGTTTTACAAATGCCCCTTGGCCACTGCTGTTGTCTGCAACGAAAGATGGCTAGAACAGCGCGAGACACAATTACAAGGACTAGCAAAACGCAGGGCAAAAAGATCGTGTAGACAGTTGTGTTCGCGTAGTTGCCCTACCTTGCCCAGTAGGGTTTTCATACTGGCGCCATCTTCGCGAAGACTCAGGAACCCGAAGAGGCGACTGTAGGAAGAAACACACGTGTCTTGTTAAAGCTCGCGGAAAAACACTGACCCGTCCCTTCCCGAAACCGAGGCCCGGAAAGCACCAAGGTCTGGGTGAACGCCAAGACGAGGTGACCTCCCGTCGCCACCGGAGTCAAGCTGCATTTGGGCCCTTCTGGAGAGTGGCATCAACCGGTGAGTAGTCAACCTGCCCGTGACGGCGGTTCGTACCTGTCCAATCCACCGAGCGCCTCCCTCTCCTGCACTGTCAAGGTGAGGGACCCCTCTTCGCTCTCGCCGCTCTCTTTTTCCGCCGCCATTTTCTTTTCCTCATCACCAAATGTAGCCGCGGCAGTAGCAAGCGACAATGCACAGGATTTCATGGAAACGCCGCAAATTTGTAACTCCCACGTTGACGCCCACTCACCACCTTGTTCAGAGCTTCAAATGGTGATCTCAAACACAGCTTGAGACTAAGCAACTTTATAGCGACAGCACGCAGACGGTCGCGACCTGAAACTCCAAAGCACAGGCGAAAACTGCAGATGCAGGGGCTACAAGGCTCCTCTACCAGATCACATCACGAGGCAGGTGGTGACCAGAAGAACACAAAAGCGCTCAATGCTGGACAGCCCAAGAGAAATTCTTAGAATTACAAACTTAACCGGTACCAACACAAAGTTGTTGTAATAGTGTCACAAGGTAAACCCCACGCAACTGTCGTGACCTCTCCCCACAACCAACCAGGCTCACCAATAGAGGTGACCGGCTTGCATCACATGACTTTTGTTGACTTACGTCAGCGACGGTGCCACTAAACTTGCTAGTTGCCGAACTCAGCCGTTCAGAAATACTAAGATCCAGGGAACAGAACACACACTAACTTGGGTAGGTGGGTTATGGTCACATCTATGGGGCAAAAGGGTAGTTTTCGGAATGAAACAACCTTTAGATTGTTCGAGTTAAATTTACTAGTACAAAGAATGGAACGTCCGGGTGGTGTCTGTCCTTCGGTAGCCATATAGGTCTCGCGAGGAAAAAGGAGGTGGTGGAAGGAGCGAGATAAAACATCTGCCGCGGTGCATTCCAATGCAGCACAAGGACTTTTTCCTGCTTGGTTGCACCTAGCCCATCCACGCCTTGTAGTGCGGGATCACCTCACACTAAAGAGGATCTTGTTGCCCGAAACAAGTCACATAGTGAGGTCCAGAAGACAAAAGTTTTACACGGCAGGAAGAGTCTTCTCGCTAAGTGACCGCAGATGGCCGAACTTCTCACCGCTGCATACTTACTTGTTCTCCCTACCTTTTCACTCTTCCACATGAAACAACACATTGTAGGACCTGTTCCCATAATTGATCGTTGCCCATAGATGCTGGTTGTTACCCTTAACTCTGTTTATCCAAAATTCTATGTTTGTTTGTTGTTTGTGTGGGAGAGGAAAGTAGGGATTAAACCCAGAGGCGCTTTGCCACTGAGTTACATCCTCAGCCCTTTTAATTTTTTATGACTAAGTCTGAACTTGGATTTGTCATTTCCGGCCTCAGACTCCAGTGACGCTGAGATTGCAGGTTTCCTTCATCTGACTGACCCCCTTGATTCTTTAATGCGACATTTTAATGCTGATTTTATATATCTTAGCCCATTATTTTCTCTGAAACAGATCTATTCTTTTCTTACTCTACTATAAAAGGCTACACAGCTCTTAATATTGTGAATAGCTGTATTAACATAAGCATATTTATTATGATAATGGTGAGCTACAGGGGCTGGGGATGTGGCTCAAGCGGTAGCGCGCTCGCCTGGCATGCGTGCGGCCCAGGTTCGATCCTCAGCACCATATACAAACAAAGATGTTGTGTCTGCCGAGAACTAAAAATAAATATTAAAAAAAAATTCTCTCTCTTTAAAAAGAAAAAATGGTGAGCTACAGGACTGAAGAGGTTTTCAAACGTAAACACTCTAATACTAGGGTTGACGTGGTACACGCCAGTAATGCCAGGAATCTGAAGGCTGAACCAGGAAGATCACAATTTGAGACCTGCCTAGTCACAAGATCCTGCCCTGCCCTAGAGCCTGTCCTAGTGGCCCAGGCCTACAACTCAGCCTTCATCTGAGGGAAGGAGATCTGAAGTTCAAAGCCAGCCTCAGCAACAGAGAGCCCTAAGAAACTCACTGAGACTCTGTCTCTAAATAAAATACAAATTAGGGCTGGGGATATGTGGCTCAGTGGTAGAGGGCCCCTGAGTTCAGTCCCTGGATACTTCCACTCAAATGGGGGTTGGGAGAGGGGTGATGGAGTGGCTGGAAATCTCACTCTGTGGTCAACAAGCTCCAATACTGCCAAAGGAAAAGGAAGAAAGATAGAAATGCTGTAAAATGTGAAATATGATCTTATCCAAAGGAAAGAAAATGTTTACAAATGTGTGTCTGATAAAGGATTTTTATTTAAAATATATAATTATTCTCAAAACTCAATAGTAAACCAAACACAGTGTCACTTACCTATAATTCCAATGATGCAGGAGAGGCTGAGAAAGGAGGATCTCAAGTTCAAAACCAGCCTCAGCAAGCCCCTCAGCAAATTACTGAGACCCTGTGTCAAAAAAATAAAAAGGGGTCTGGGATGTGGCTCAAGTGGTAGCGGGATGGCCAGGCATGCACGGGGCACTGGGTTCCATCCTTAGCACCGCATAAAAATAAAATAAAGGTGTTATGTCCACCAAAAATTAAAAAATAAATATTTAAAAATAAACATAAATAAAAAGGGCTAAAAATGTGACTCTGTTGTTAAGTGCCCCTCTATTCAATCCATGCTACCCCCCAAAATATAGTAATAAAAAAATCATTTTCAAAAATGGGAAGAAATAATCTGAAAAGACATCACCAAAGAAGTTACACCAATAGGAAATAAGATACAATTTTATTTAGTAAATAAGGGAAATTAAAAGAACAAAGGATACCATTCACAATTATTAAAATAGTTAAAAAATTTAAAGCTGATAATGCCAATTGTTGATGAGGATGCAGGACTATGGGAGATTTCATTCATTGTTGGTAGAATGCAAAAGCTAAGCATGGTCTCATCATGCAATCTGGCAATCTTGTCTCTAATCAAGTACTAAATCAGTAATTCAACAACTTAAGTCCACACAAATCTCTGAATGTTAATCATAGTCTTACTCATAATTACTTATTTATAAAACCAAAAATCAACATGTCCTGCAACTAATGAATGAAAAAACACACTGTGGTACATCTATACAAGGTTTATATTATTCAGAAATAAGAATAGATATCAAGTCATGCAAACTTGGTTAAATTTTAATTTAATTTCACATTAAGTCTCAGAATGAAGAGGCCATATGTTGTATGATTGTGTTTTATTTGATGTCCTTGCAAATTCATGTGAGTGATCTTACATTCAGCTGCCAGCGCTGGTCGGAGCAGCAGTTACCCTAATATCAAAAAAAAAAAAAAAAAAAAAAAAAGAGCTGGGATGTAGTTTGCTGGTAGAGCACTAATGAGTTTGATCCTCAGTACTTCAAGTCATAGTAAAAATAAAAATAGACAAATAA